GCTCACTGTTGATCCATTCGTGTTTATACAAGACATAAACTCTAGGAAATTAATTTAATATACGGAAAAAAAGGTTCATTTTGCTTCTTTTTTCCCCTCAGAGCCACCCTGTGACCTCTGACCTATATACAGGAGCCAACCACAGTGTTTCACACTGAAATAATGTTTGAAGATATTTAAATATTGTTTTGAAAAATCCCAGCGTTGCTGCAAACTGCTAACGTCGCGGTTCGTATCATACCCTGATGACCTCATCTCTGAACCAATCACAAACCTGGACCTGCTTCAGATAGAAATCCTGCCAGTACTCTGAGCCCATCCGGCTCTCAGACTGCACATTTTTACAAGAGATTTATTTGCAGCTTTTGTTATTTAGGTAAATTAACAAACATAAAAACAGAACGAGTAGAGATATATGAGTATAAGATTTTTGTTGGTTTTTTTTTTCACTTGAAGCAGTTTGTGATATTTGTTATTTTTCTCTTTAATACACGGTTATTTTACAGATCATCACAGTTACAGTCAACAGCTTTGGACACGACACATTACGACAGGCATGTTGTTGAGTAGTTCACAGGTAAATACTCCACAGGATCAAAGGCTCCATTTAAAGCCTTGGCTCGTGAACAGGAAGTGACGCTGCTGTTCTGAGAATCTGCCCCGCAGCAGAGAGAGCTACACAAAAGTCACAACACAATCTTTGTACTTCTGTGAAAGAGTAACTTATTTAACATGTCCCATCAACAGGGGTCAGTAATGAGTAGTAATCCAGAACCTTCTGAAGCCCACACCTCTATCCCCCCGTTTATTTCTCCGTCAGCGGTCGCCACATGTTAGCCCTCACTTTTTACCCAATGATCTCAGTGAAGTTTGGAGGAGGAATAGAACGTGGAATCATCTGCATGGAAGGCAAGAAAAGCTACCGCTGCACCACCGAGACAAATCCACAGTTAGTGAAGTTAAAACATTTACTTGTGTCTTATGTACAGTAGTTATAACACATGTAGCAAAGAAGTCTCTAGAAGGTTTGTTTTGTATCAACACGTCGAGTGGTTACAGGATCAGGGTGCTGGTTCAAATCCCATCAGCGCCACGGCTGTGGTGCGTTCAAGGCAGCAGGCTGATCCTGTGTGTTGGCTGTGATTTATGAGTTCAACCAACCATCAGTCAACGTCCTGTTTGTCTGTTTGCGATATGTACAGAGACAAATGAAGTCTCTTCTTATTGGTCATTGACTCTATGCTGATGACACAGTCATTCATCTTCCTGAATGTCAGGTGGCAGAA